GCAGAACGTGGTTGGCAGGGTTTAAAAATGAATCTGTAGGTGTCAATGAAATTACTAGTAAGGAACGCAGCAGAAGATTCAAAAACGCTCCAAAATGTGGTTTGGTAGACTCACGTTGAGCGAGGATGTGCTGAACAGAGACGCAGAGACGCTCAGTGGTGCGGGCGAGAGACCACACATGAATAGGTAATAGAGCAAGCAAACTGTTGCTATGAAACACAAGAACGAAAATCTCAATGAATGTGGAAATCTACGAACTGTAGAGCCAGTCGGAGGGTGTGCTTAGAGTTGTATCACACTCTTGAAGGTTCCCTTTGCTGCCTTTTTTCCACCTTCGTCTGTCTCTAATAGCTGTGATGCTCCTGGATTTCACCGATATGTGAAAAAGTACAAAAATGGAGTCCTAGTCGGATTCATTCAAGCAGTGTCTTTCTATTTGATCAGCAACAAGGCCGCACGAAATGCTAGGTACTTTAATTGGCAGCCCAACCACCACAGAACGAGACGTCGTACACAGGGAGGAGTGGTGGGGGCAATAAAAAAGACACCTAGAGAATCCTCAAAACCTTTTTCCGCATGGAGTGACGGGCGTGGTCGGTCGCTGGGAGAGGGGGGCGGGTGTTGGGGCTTGGAAAAATTTTTTGAAAGGTTGGTTTTTTTTGTATGAGAGACGTTGTAATGGGGGATCATTCAGGTTGGGGAAAACTAAGAAAGAAATGGCAGAGAGAGGAGGTCATATTCGTATCCACCCCTACCGCTCAATGAGGAGGGAACCAGTGGAGGGGGGGGGGTGGTCGTAAAAACCCCTTAAAGAAAAGGGGGAGGGTCGTCCTGACCAAAATCCCCAACCAATGATGTGCCCTGGTCTCAACATCTTGTCTTGAGATATTTTGTATCGGATCTTCTGTTTAGCATACCAGCGTATGAGCTAAACATGGGCGATGCACCCCACGAGTGTTGCCGTTTCTTTATTGCCCTCCCCCCTCCACTGTACACGTGCCCGGCGTTGGCACGAGGACCTAACTGACTGTAAAGGATTCAATGAGTCAACTAGCTGGAAAACACTCGGCTAGTCAGAGCAGGTCTCCTTAACGTAACGTTCTGCACTCCCCGAACAAGCAAGAATGCCCGTGAGGGACGTGAACTGGATCGCAGTCTCTTCCACAGCTGTTTCGAGTAGGATGGCATCAACTGGTGAGAGAGCTCACTGCGCTGCGCTCCACGACCCCTCGCTTGCAGGGATAATGACTGTACACCTCTTCGACGAATCTTCTAAACAATCTTCTTGAACTTCACCGGTTTTGATTAAATACTGCACTCGGGCGTCCAGCCCGAAAGTCTTCCACAGGTGGAGTACCCTCGCTTTGCTTAACTTCTTTTCCTACCTTTTCCATTATTTTTCCGCAACTTCTTTAATTCCCACGAAAACTGGCGATGAGACGGGAGCGCCTGGGAGGGAGAAACCGTAAAAAAATGAGATAATCACAAAAGCTTCTCCTTAAAAACAAAACGACCCTCCCTGCGTCCAAACACGATCCCCTCCCCCCTCGCTAGGGTACCGCAATGTATATGCAACTGCCATGTACTGTGCTATCTTGTCCCCAATGATTTAAATACACCATAGCAAAGCTCCACGTCGAAAAAATTCTCACTTTATTGGTACAGTTTTTATCTCATAGAATTCCAAGCACTTATTATGCGACACTTATTTGGCTACAGATGCATTAAATGATCAGGAAAACAACTTTCATCAAAACTAGCAGACCCTAATGTAATATTAAAATGTAAGCATTACGTACTAGAGCGGCTTTCTGAAACAACAAATCAAAACGTCATACCTTCAAGCTGTCCAATCTGTAATCGTCCATTAAACAACAGAAAAAACATGAACTAATTTCCAGGAAAAGGCTTTTGATTTGTCTATTATTACAGCTGAGAAGAGAAAAGAAGTAATCTACATATGCAAAACATATAGCATAGAAGTGAAACATACTGTTATGGACATACACATAGCTCTCTACGGTCATCAGTCAGATTTCGGTACCCTTAGTCTTGTTCGTTGCGGAAGCCGGGGCTTGTCAGGGGGACGGGTTTGGCGTACTTCCAGCTCGTTTCCACCAATTGTGGTCGCTTGCCAGCTTCCGCAACTGATGGAGAACGCGCTGACGTCACGCTAAACCAAGCCCCCTGACATGCCCCTGCATCCGCAAGGAATAAGATAAAGGTATAAGCTTGAAAACAATTCAATACTACATAACACTGGTTTCAAAAGACATCTTCCGCGCAGACCGTACAGGCGGAATCACTTGGAAGTTGGCCGTTTCCACTAGAAAAGCGAACAGGAGAAGAGCACCAATCAGGAGACGCAATTTTCCCAGTGACTCCGCCCACAAACTACCGCGAAATGTTCTCTTTACGTGTTGGTACCTTTATGTCACCACATTTCTGTGTTCTGAATAAATCAACTCGGGTAGTTGAGAGAACCCATAGCAGCATCTTGCAGAAGAAAATGCCTCAGTGGGTACCCAAGTATCCGAAAATTCCTGCCGTGTAACGCTGAAGTACCAACAAATGGCGCATAAAATGACAACTGTCTCAAAGACATGTGGAAATGCTGTAGAGATAAATCCACAGATGGTTACTCATATACTCTGTAAAGATCGCGAAGGTACAATTCGTTGTGTTACCGATCCAAACACATCACGCAGCGACTCTGTCCATCCCTACAAAAGAATTTTGAATTCTACAAGAAGCTGAACCGGCTGTTCAGGGATAAGTACTCCGAGCAAGTTCCAAGATATAGTCCAGTTTAACTGCAATCGAATTGGTAGCGCAAGGGAGAGGAACGGGCTGGGATCATATTGGTGGAAAGCTGCGATCTTCTCTGATCTTGAAGGCAGTTTCGCGCTAAACCAATTAGTGGGCGCCTCTTTTCCGTGGCTTCACCTTGGGTAACGCTAAAGCCATCATAAATGGAAGCTCTGGCGCCTTCCCAGTTGTCCCGCCCACCAGAAACTCAAAGGCCTTTCTGTCACGAATTCAGCCTCCACATCACGTTTTCCGCTTTTTTTTTACTGTTAGATGGTATTAGCAATGGATGAAATGAAGAGATGATAAGTGAGCCAAAGGTGGCAGAACATCGTTTTGCTGCCATAAAACGAGCAGGTCCGGAAAACTCGTCCAGTGGTTGCTAGGTCCTCTGGGTGGTCTCCATGATTATTTTTCCATGGACAGTCCTGTAGCGACTACAGGTTTGTAGTGAACGCTATTGTCCACAATGTGAAATCGCATCGCTGGGTTTGTCTTCAACCTTGCAGTTATGTATGCCACTAATGCTATAACGCAGCTAAACGGACTATTTCTTGTATCGGGAAAATGATCGCTAGATGCTATTAGTACGACCACACGGAAAGTGAGATAGAGGAAATAGATCGTAATTTTGGAAACCTTGCCGATTGAAGAGGTCTCATGGTTGTTGATATGTTGCGGTGCACGTCCAGCGTGAGCATCTAATACTTTTTGATAGCGTAGTTTGCATGCAGCTTCAATCGTTTTTGCCATCGCTGCTGCCGATGGTTCAACATGGAACACGTAGCACATGAAGTTCTCCGACGATGTGTGCATAATGAAAGCGCAGTGCCTGAAAAAATCAGTCGGGATCAACTCTAA